ACAAGGATAAATGGAGATAATGCCCCTCCCAAAAAGTTTCGAAAATCTCCATATTATAGTAGTATTAATTAAGAATATTTTCAAATTATATAATTTAGGCCTTGAGTATATATATATATATTTAAAAAAAAAAAAACTTGACAGTTACAATTTTATTTGGAAAATATTAGAATATTAGTGGTACCAATGAATTTTTAGTTTTCACATCTATATTCTCCCCCAAGTTGGAATTATGCATCCAGTCTAAACATATTCCAATTTGAGTTTGAGAGTTCAGTCTTAACTTGTATGCCTATAAAGTTTTGATGTGTGCCTTAAAAACACACGTTAACAATCATCTATATATAAACGGTTTTGTTTATGCTTTGTTTGGCATGCTTTGTTTGGCATGCAGGGCCAGCCCAACAAGGAGCCAAACAACACAAAGTAATCTTCCACCCACTAACTGGTCAGTGTATCCATAGAAAATCACTATTGGAGCCACTGAAGCTAGGTCCATGCACAGACTCTGAGGCTTGGTCCTACAACACACAACAAAAGACACTAACCATAAAAGGAATCTATTTTTGCTTACAAGCAGATGGGCTAAACAAAACAGCAAAACTTGGTGTGATTTGCAGTGACTCAACTTCAAAATGAGAGCCCATCTCAGACTCTAAAATGCACCTCTCATCCAAGCTCGCCACCGATGGCGCCGTCGTTTGCTTGGATGTGGACCCCAGTAGCAATATTATCGTCACGAATAATTGTAAATGCTTAAATAGGGATAATATGTGCGACCCGGGAAGTCCGTGGTTCAAAATTGTTAATAGTACTAGAAGTTCGAGTGTGACCACACCTTTCTTTGGATTCAACTCAGTGTTCGATTTCTTGAGAAACAACATGCTTGGGAGTTTGGTGGATTCAGCATGAGAAAGAGAAGATAGTGATGTATTTAGACATTGAAGAAATTTGTGAAAAGAACAGTGCGTACAAGAAATCATTTATTGAAGAAGTTTAATCAAGTTTCATATTGTTGAAGCAATAAATCATGGGCAAATTACATCAATAGTCCTTATATTTTGATTTTTGTGTCCTTTTAGTTCTTAAAATTCTAGTTGGCTTGATTCTGACTATGAATTTATAATATTGTCTCAATTTTGTCAATTGATTACAATTGTTAGCATTTTTTTTTTATAGAAAATACGAAAATAAGTTGCATGTGTCATACTTTTAGGTGGCAAAATTAACGATTTTATCAATTAGATCAAATTGACACGAAATCTAAAATTAAGGGTCAAAATTAAAACAATTAAAAATATAGGAATCAAAATGACATAAGAGACAAAACATAGAGGCTATCGATGTAATTTTCCCATAAATCATTTTATTGGAGTATTTTTTAACTCTTCTCATATTTGCTTCACAATCTTTTCATTAAGTTACTCAAATATGACTGCATTTTTAGCTTGTTAAAAATATATTTAAGAAACAAATCAAGCTTTTATATATTTTAAAGGGTAAATTACAGCAGTAATCCCTGTACTTTACATTTTTTCATTTTGGTCCCTATTGTTTTAATTTACTCAATTTTACCCCTTAATTTTACGAATTGTGTCATATTAGTCCAATAAATAACGACGATTAAGTTTGATGGACGGGAAATTAAATGATGCTTCAATTTGGTCATTGTAATGTGTCAATTTGGTCACTGTTGTTTTGATTTTCATATAAACTATAGGGACTAAATTAACACATCCTATAAACTATCGGAACCAAATTGAAACATCATTTGATTTTTCGTCCATCAAACTTAACGGCCGTTATTTATTGGACTAATATGACACAATCTGTAAAATTAAGGGACAAAATTGATCAAATTAAAACAAAGGGGACCAAAATGAAAAAACCGGGTAAACTACAGGAACCATTTACATAATTTATCCTATTTTAAAATTTGTTAAATTTTAAAACTAAATTTGAACTACTCTTATTTGGCTCAACTCACTTTTATGCACTATAAAAAATCAAATTACTAAAGTTTGGCTCGTTTAAACTCCTTTGAGATTGCCTCGAAAGATAAACAAAGCAAACTTAAATAAATTTTATGGCAAATTTCATTTTATTCCCTTGTAATTTGGGCCATGTGCAATTTATTCCCATAACGTTTAGAAATTATTACATAATTCCCATGTGATTTGTAAATTAAAATGCATACTAACTGTAAGATAAATTGATAGAGAGAGAATAAATTATGTATATATTGATGTATTGAATGTTGTATATTACAAATGGTGAGGGGCTCCTTATATAGGAGAAGATACAATCCTTACAGACAATGGACAATGATGGCTCATGATGAAAAGAGCCGAAAACAATCCAAAAGCAATACGTTGTATTACGTATTATATTAGCCGAAAGTTGCACTATATTTAGGCACTATATTATATTACTAACAGCCCCCCTCAAATTCAAGGAGGATAGGAACCAACCAACTTGAGTTTGAAGAGAGTAACAAAACATGAAAATAAACTGACAAATAAAATAAAATACAATAGGAGACACTGTATGGTCGTGTCAGACCGTTGTAAGAGATAACCGGAATCAATGTCGGGACAGTTTACGGGGTCATGCCGGACCGATGTAAAAACTGACCGGAATCAATGTCGAGACAGTTTACGGGGTCATGCCGGACCGATGTAGAAACTGACCGGAATCAATGTCGGGACAGTTTACGGGGTCATGCCGGACCGTTGTAGAAGCTGACCGGAATCAATGTCGGGACAGTTTATGGGGTCATGCCGGACCGTTGTAAAAGATTATGGTGGTGCACCAAGGGGGCGACTTAGGGAGTGCGCCATGGGGTGGCTTGGGTGGTTCCCATGGTATATAACCATGCTCATTAGCCTGGGTGGTTCGCATGGTGTGTAACCATGCTCACCATGATATATGTATAACCCCCCTCAAACTCAAATAGGTGTGAAGATAGAAACCTATTTGAGGTTGAAATTTTTTGTTTTTTTTTTTTTTTTTTTTTTTTTTTTGTTTTTTTTTTTTTTTTTTTTTTTTTTTTGTTTTTTTTTTTTTTTTTTTTTTTTTTTTGTTTTTTTTTTTTTTTTTTTTTTTTTTTTTTTTTTTTTTTTTTTTTTTTTGATTACGAAAAAAGGAAGATAAAATAAAATAAATAAAAGGAAAGTGGGGGTAGTGTGAATCAGCAAGAGTTTTTGAAAAAAAAAAGATGGTGAAAAGTGAGACAGCTCATGGTATTAAAGCATAGAATAAATTAAGTAATGAAAAAAAAAAGTGTTGTTGGTTGTTGGAATAAAAATATATATATATATATATATATGAAAAAGGAAAAGGATAAATATGGGAATAAGAGGAAGGAAAAGAAAAATAGTTTGTCAAAAGCAAAGGGACATGCCCATGTGGGTGTCATGATAAGAAAAGCAAAAAGAAAGAAAGAGAAGAGAATGCAGAAAGTATCCATGTCTTTAAAACTTGTAAGGATTTTTTTTTTTTTTATGTTACGTTTATTCTTTGATTGGTAGCTTTGTCTTCGAGAAAAGGGTATGCGTGAAGGAGAGATTAGAGGACCCACAGACGATAAAGAAAGAAATAAAATAAAATAAAAAAGAAGAAGAATGGGTTTGTGGAGGAGCTGTAAGCGGCGATGAGTCCAATGCCTTGGTTGTTTTGTAAACCGATGAAAGCAAGGAAGAGTCCGATTCCAGCGATGGAGGAGATTCGAACTGGTTTTGAAAAAAGTTGAGCAAGTGTTGTGCGCAACCCAAATGATGAAATGAAGAGGAAGATCAACCCTTCAGTGAACACAACCCTTCGGTGAACACGGCTGCAAGAGCTCCATTATAGGAGAGATGGCCGGAGCCATGGACACCCACTAGAGTGTAAGCAAAGTAAACATTGCTCCCCCTGAAATTTTGATGCAAATGAAGGGCCCTGATTTGCTGCAGGCCTTCTTGAAGAAATCCACATCGGGCATACGAAAGACTATCGAGACAGCAGGCGGTATCAGCTATCGGATCAACGACAAGAGAGAGCAAAGGGCTCTAGCAGATTGCCTGGAGTTGATGGAACTGTCAATGGATAGAGTGATGGACTCTGTGGTGGCAATTGAGAAAAGGACAGCCGAGTATGCCCATTCATGGCTCAGTAGTGTTCTCACCAACCATGTTACTTGCCTAGACGGGTTAACCGGATCGGCCCGGTCCATGATGGAGCCTGAGCTCGAAGACATGGTGGTAAGATCTAGAGCTTGTCTGGCCTGTGTTGGGCTTAACCCTGAAACCATAGAAGGTGGACTATGAGCAGAATTTGTGGCAGCGGAGTGAAGGTATGTGTAAAGGTCCGGCGGGCGGCCAAGGCGAGGCTGCCGCCCGCTGGTGAAGCGGAATTACTAAGTTGTTAACCTAGCTCTGATACCATGTAAGATAAATTGATAGAGAGAGAATAAATTATGTATATATTGATGTATTGAATGTTGTATATTACAAATGGTGAGGGGCTCCTTATATAGGAGAAGATACAATCCTTACAAACAATGGACAATGATCGCTCATGATGAAAAGAGCCGAAAACAATCCAAAAGCAATGCGCTGTATTACATATTATATTAGCCGAAAGTTGCACTATATTTAGGCACTATATTATATTACTAACACTAACTTCTGTTAAACTTACTACTCTATTTGACTATGCAAACACAGCCTTAGAGCATCTTCAACCTGTATGCCAAATCCTACATGGCACACCAACAATCAAATTTGACCTTAAATTTTTGCTCCATCCATATGTCAACATGACATGCTCCTTAGCTCATGTCAAATTTTTAATTATAGTATTTTTTTAAATAAAATAATATTTTCATTTATCTTTTAATTATAAAATAATAAAATTTGGCATACAGGTTGAAGTGTTTTAAGAGATGTCAAATTCACAAATGCCAACTTACCGTTCAAGTTTTTAATTTTATTTAACATACCAAAATTTAATATATAAGTTGGAGATGTTCCTAGAGATCAAATACAACAGTGGCTCAAAACAAACTTGAGAAAAATCTCTTTTTAAATGTCTTTTTAATTTTAAAATAAAAATATATTAACGCCACTCATGAATCGACATCCCCGAATATGGCTAGCTCAGCTAGGAATCCATCATCTAACTTTCTTTGTGTCAAAAGTAGACAAACAATAAAAAAATCAAATTAAATAAAAAGACAAAAGAAACAACCAAACAAGCCCTTCATATAAATATAATACTTAGAAGCAATACATTACATCCAATTCAAAGTACTCAACATGGGAAGGTTCCCTTTTTTCTTGTCTCTCCTACCCTTTCTCTCTCTTACTGTCATCTTCCTCAGCACCACCATAACACCACCAAACCCTGCGGCGGCGCTTCCACTCTCCACCGATTCATGGTGGATCGTCGATGAAATAGGGCGGCGCGTGAAGCTCTCATGTGTGAGTTGGCCTTCGCATCTCGAGGCCGTGGTGGCAGAGGGACTTAGCAAACAACCCATTAATTCAATCTCAAAGAAGATTGTGTCAATGGGATTCAACTGTGTTAGTGTCACGACCCAAAACCTGCCCCTATAGGTTTAGCATCGTAACCGGCCAGTAATCCTGGGATTACCGAAGGCCTCTGAGACAAATTAACATAATATTAGGGGCTAACGGAAGCAAATAAGAAATATACAACGTCCATTGAGCTGTGCAGACTTATATGAGACAGAAAAATTTTAAACTTTTTATATACATATATACACATTATCTTTAAGTCATCATATATATACAGATTAGACAAAAAAGGACTTAGCCCTATTCGCAAAATACACAAGACTTGTTTAACCAAAAAAAAAGAAAACAGAACTTAAACTTTAAATTACTTAGCAATAATTACTTGACATATCCGGAACCTCCACGGGAGGCACATAGGTTGGCTGACAAAACAGATTCTAGGCAGATGCCTCTAAGCATGGTCACGCACCTGATCACCTACATACATAAATAATACAGTGAGCTAAAACCCAGTGAATAATAACAAAGTAAAGGGTTTTATGAATGATGTCTAGCACAAGTTAAGATCCAGTATTTAAATTAGAACATATTCAGACTTCAAAATAGAAATAGATTTAGATACATACTCATGTTCATATTCAGATTTTGCATAAGATCATACGTGGTACACCCATTAGCTATTAGATCAGATTGGTCCAGAGACCTAAATACATAGTTGGTACCAACGACCATAAGGTCCATATCTTGCACGCAAGTAGCCATGATATTGTTACCCCCAGGCAAGGGCCACGTGCAGATTGGTCGTGGTATTGTTACCCCCGAACGAGGGCTACATGCAGATTGGCAGCGGTATTGTTACCCCCGGGCGAGGGCCACGTGAACTAAGGGTACCACAAATACTTTTCAGAAAATTGGACATTCATTCATAATTCGTAAGATAGCATTTCAGAAAAACAGATTATACCATACCAGTCAGAAAATACTTAGGTTAAACATAACTTTACAGAGTTATTACTCACAGATGGCTGCAGAAGCAAATCAGACAGACTAGACATATCAGATAAATCAGGCAGACAATGGCGCGTGACCTATACAAGCACATAATATATACACATTGAAATACAATATTACTCCCTTGATCAAACTTGACTTTTCTAGTCTTTTTCTGTCTAAATAGTCCGAAGTTCTACTACACTTATTCTTTCTCATTCAAATAGACCGGATTCTTATTTCACATATTCTTTCATTACTAAGCCCTTCTTTTCCAAATAGATTGATATTTTACTTGACTTCTTAAACAATTACAACTAGATCAAAGATTCATTCTTTAACTAACTAGTTTATATTGATTGGTAGCTTATTAATCTTTATTGAGTCATAAATCATGTCTAGAATGCCTTGGAAAGAGATGAGAATAAAAATGTGAAGTAAATGCAATTTTTCCAAAATATGCTGAAAAGGGGTCTTTGCTCGAGCGCCATTTTGGTCGCTCGAGCGGACTGTAAAATTTGGAAAACTACTGGCAGCTCGATTTTCACGCTCGAGCGAGACTTCTCTCGCTTGAACGGACAACGCAAATTCTAAAATTCCAAAATTGTAATTGAAGTTCAAATTTGGTATTCAAAGCCTCAAAACATGTACTTTTGGTACACAAAAATAAAAAACCATTGTATAATTAAATAAACACTTTCAATTAGAAATCATTCATTCAAAATCATGTTCCAATTGCCCAAATTTAGTTTTATTTCATCTTATTAATATCAACCCACAATTCTAAGATATAATTTAGGCTTCCCAACCTCTTGAAATTCCATGATGTATGCAATACAAATAGATCCAATTTTATTATTAATAACAAAATCAACTTAACTACGAATTACACAAATCAATTTCTTAGAAATTCAACTTAACTCAATTTCTAACCAAAAACTTAATCTATAATCATGAGTGTTCTAAAATGTATCTAAATTGAATAGAATTCTTAAATTACATCACATGCATGGTTTAAATAAAGATCTAATTATAAAATCAAAACTTTAGGATTAATTCCAAATTTCCATAAACTTGGTTTTCTTAAAACATTTCCTTTGTTTCTTCAAAATATGGACTTGAATGGCCCAATTCTCTTAAAACTCATGTATTACAAGAAAATACTACAAAATCAAATTAAAACAATTAATTTTTCAAATTAATTTCCACAACTATGAGTCTACTTAATTTCTTACTTAAAACCTTATTTCTTACAAAATCCATGAGACAAATCCCATAACTTTCTTAATTCATGCTGCATGGAGGATTATCTAAAACATGAAATTAAAGTTATAAGACTCTTAGAAAATATTTGCATGTGTGAAATTAGAGTCAAAATTCAAACCAATTACATCCAAAATTCCTTTAATTCAATATTAAATTCAAAATGTTCATGAATTCATAATTCCCCAAAACTTGCTCTTCTTAAACCAAAACATGGAATTAATTCTTCAAATCTTTTAAACATCTATGATGCATGTATAAAACACTTATCAAATCCAACCAATTTTACATTATCAAGCTCAATTTATAATTTGACTTCTTAATTTATATCACAATTTAATCTCAAGCTCATAAACTTTAAAATATGGATTAAATTATAAAATCTTGCAAATTTACCATGCATGCAATGATAAACTTCAAATATGTGAAGATTGAAGAAAATCAAACCCAAATATTAAATCACGACATCAATTTCTTAATTATTAAGCTTAACTCAAATTTTCTACATTCTTTTCTTATGTCATGAAATTAAACCCAATTTCCATCAATTTATATAATTGATCCCCAAATCCTCATTTTTAATCCTCTTAAAATTCATCTTAAATCAATTTATGTCTAGATTATTTAAACAATACTAAGAAGAGAATGAAATTTCTTACTTGAAGATGAATTTCTCACAATTTTTAAGCTTGAATCTTGGTATTCCACAAGACTTCCTTCTTTTCCCCCTTTTTTTTTTTTTTTTTTTTTCTTCCTCCCAGTTCTCCCTCTCAGCCGACCTCTCTCTTCCTTCCTCTTTTCTAACTCTGCTTCAGCAGGGTGAAAGGCACCATTTGATATCATTTGCCATCTCTTATTATTTTATTTTTTCTTTATTCATTAGTGGGACACTTGTCCACGTAATATGAACCCATATTTCATTAGTTTAGCACACTAATCACATTTTAGTTTAATTCAACATCACTTAGTCTTGATTAATCATAATTAGCACATAAGTTAATTAATCATAACTAATTACAATTTCTTACATGATTTAATTAGCCGAATTAATCTTTGGTTAAGGCCCAATTAATCAGATTTTTAGTCGGACTCTCAAAAGGCTCCAAATATTAAATTAAACTTATTATCATTATAAATTTTGATCTCTCAAACTATTTAGGTCTTCAATTTCTAATCAGACTTCAAATTTCCATCCATAATTTACACATTCAAATTGAACACCTCATAAATAAATTTAATTCGTAATAATCACAATTCTCAAACTTCATAATTTAATCAACTCCAATTAGGGCCTAATTACTCGAATCTCAATTTCACTAAACTAAATCGAATATTTAATTAAACTCCTAAATGGGTCCATAATTAAGATTAAATTGATTCAACTTCTCAACTTTACTTCCTTAAGCCATTTGAACCCTCAATTTCTAATTCCAAAATAAATCTTTAATAGAATCATATACGAGTCAGATCCCACAATCCTCATAAATCCCAAATTAAATTATAATACTCGGTAATTAAATTTCAAATCCTCGTAATTAATCAAGTACTAATCATTATACGTGATGGGATCGTAACAGTTAGGTCACTTGGCCTATTTTCTTGGCAACCAATGATTCATTGGCTAGCACAACTGTTAGACACTCTTTTATGAACCTTGGGTTGATTGATTCCATTGCTGGTTTTCAAGCCAACAGCCCTTCTATCATTGATCTCAGCCTTATTAATGCTTACCAGGTAATTTTCTTTTCTTTTCTTTTCTGGGAAAATTTTATGTATTATCTACATGTGGGAAGTTGGGGTGGGAATCAAATGAGAGAGAGAGAGAGAGCATGAAAGATGACTTTGTTGCCTGTTAGGTATTGACCCACTATTGTACCATGAATAGCAATAAAATAATTTATTTTAGTAAAATTATTCCAACAATACAAAAGTAATTTATTTATTTTGGTTTCATATTTTTGAAATCTGTTTTCAATTTTTATTTTTTATTTTTTTTGTGAAAAATAGAAATTAGTTTGACGAAATTAAATAATTAAAAGATATTCTCAAAATTTTTAAAAATTATTTCTACTTGTCAAAAAAATAATAAAGCTATGTGAAAATGATGAGTATTTTTATATTATATTAATTTTTTATTTTTTAGAAAATTGATTCTAAATATCAAACCAAGCAAATACTCCAGAAGTTCTGTCAAAAGAGAAATGTATTAGGTAGTTGTTATGTGACCTTATCAATTGATGTTTCTAACAAATAAATAATTACAAAATACACCGTGAGTTATTTAGTGTCTGTTTGATAACTATTCCGTTTTTAATTTTTAGTTTATATTTACAAAAATTTTAAAAATTGTCATAAAAACTTATTTGATAATTTTTTTGATTTATAAATAGTTGTCCCAGTTTATAAATTTGAGGAAAAAATGTAAACTCAAAAAATAAGTTTACGTTTTCAGTTTTCAATTTTCAATTTTCAATTTTTTTTTTCAAATAAATTTTTTTCAATTAATTATTTTTTCGAATAATTTTTTTTTCAATTATTTTTTTCAGTTAATTTTTTTTTCAATTAATTTTTTTTCCCATTTAATTTTTAGTTAAATTATTTTTTTTCAATTATAATGTGTGTGATCCCATTGTCATAAATAATAAAAATAAATATAAATATTTTAGGCCTGAACAAACATATTTTTTTATTTATGTTTTTAAAATTTTTTAAACATTTTGTTCATACTAAACGCATTTATAATTTATGTTTTTATAAAAATAAACAAAAACCAGTTAATAAAATTTTTGTAAACATAAACTAAAAACGTAAACCTTACCAAACGCTACCATGGTATTTCAAAAAAATAAATAATCACGAAATATATAGGTTATTCTCAAGTCATATTCATAGTTTTTTTGCTATCTCACTAGTATAAAGTACTATATGGAGAATGCCATATCTATATGATATTCTAAAACTATCGAATAATTATTTTAAAGAATCTATCAATTGAACAAAATTGTACTTGTTACCAGATAAATCATCAACATTACATGTTCAAAAAAAATATTTTAAAAAAAATTGAGAATTTAAAATGGGTAGATCATATTAATTCTAGGTGTAAGTATAGAACACAAAATCAACCATAAAAAATAATTTTGATCATACACAATGCTTAATTTAACTTGTAAATAATCTATATCAAACATGCTAGGTACATGCAAAAAGGAGCAGAAGCAATTCATGCAATAAACCCAGATGTTCTTGTCATTCTCTCTAAATTGACTTTCGACAAATATTTATCCTTTCACATCAAACATCCGGTAAGCCTATCGTTCCCCGGAAAGCTAGTATTCGAGGTGCATTGGTATGGGTTTTCTAATGGATTGCCATGGAAAAGGGGCAACCCAAACCACGTTTGTGGGCGAGCCATGCATCAATTTATGAGGAAGGCGGGGTTTGTGTTGGAGCAAGGGTACCCCTTGTTTCTGAGTGAGTTTGGGGTAGACCTAAGGGGTACAGATGTCATTGACAATAGGTACCTAAATGAGTGGTGATTCATCCCACTAATTTTTAGATCACTAATAGCTCTAATGAGCTTAAAAAAAAAAAAAACAAACTCAAGTCAAAACATCACATCACTTTGGTGGGGGCCACTGTGCCACATCATTAGTGATGCTATTAGGCCGTGGTGTCAAACCTTGGGAAGAATAATGTAATGTTGATTTTGGACAATCACATAAGCAAGCCTGGTTGGTGTTGCAGCAAATTCGACGGTAGTGGATTCTTTGGTGACCAGTACTTCAATCCTGACCTTTGGATCAAAGGCCTGACCATGATGGCCACTTTGTTTAAGGGCACCACAAATGTTGTTGGGATGAGCTTGAGGAATGAACTTCGTGGCCCCAAACAGAATGTCAATGATTGGTACAGGTAATAAATAATATTATTCTATTATTACAAAAAAAAATAAATTAAAAAACTATTAATTAATCTCCTGAGTATCATATAACATTATTTATATGATATTTCAAAAAAATAAATAATCACGAAATATATAGGTTATTCTCAAGTTATATTCATAATTTTTTTGCTATGTCACTAGTATAGAGTATTATGTGGAGAATGCCATATCTACATGATATTCTAAAACTATCGAATAATTATTTTAAAAAATCTATCAATTGAACAAAATTGTACTTGTTACCGGATAAATCATCAACATTACATGTTCAAAAAAAATATTTTAAAAAAATTGAGAATTTAAAATGGGTAGATCATATTAATTCTAGGTGTAAGTATAGAACACAAAATCAACCATAAAAAATAATTTTGATCATACACAATGCTTAATTTAACTTGTAAATAATCTATATCAAACATGCTAGGTACATGCAAAAAGGAGCAGAAGCAGTTCATGCAATAAACCCAGATGTTCTTGTCATTCTCTCTAGATTGACTTTCGACAAATATTTATCCTTTCTCATCAAACATCCGGTAAGCCTATCGTTCACCGGAAAGCTAGTATTCGAGGTGCATTGGTATGGGTTTTCTGATGGATTGCCATGGAAAAGGGGCAACCCAAACCACGTTTGTGGGCGAGTCATGCATCAATTTATGAGGAAGGCGGGGTTTGTGTTGGAGCAAGGGTACCCCTTGTTTCTGAGTGAGTTTGGGGTAGACCTAAGGGGTACAGATGTCATTGACAATAGGTACCTAAATGAGTGGTGATTCATCCCACTAATTTTTAGACCACTAATAGCTCTAATGAGCTTAAAAAAAAAAAAAAAACAAACTCAAGCCAAAACATCACATCACTTTGGTGGGGGCCACTGTGCCACATCATTAGTGATGCTCTAGAGCTCCCAATTTAGTGCTCTAAAACATTATTCGTACCTAAATTGTTTGTTGCGTGTGGCAGCTAAACTTGACTTTGACTGCGCTTTGTGGACTCTTGCTGGGAGTTACTATTTGAAAGAAGAGGTGAGTGAGTTCGACGAGGTTTATGGGTTGTTCAATTGGAATTGGTCTGAGGCTAGGAATTCAAGCTTCTTGGACAGGATCTCTGGCATCCAATTACCCTTTCAAGGTATTGAATTCATGACTTTTTTTAGAAATATATATATTATTTTTGGAGCACCACAGTGTTCTTGATTGATAGAATATGAGATAGATAGACTGACTTTGTCTTCACCTAGTTGACCAAGGTAGATTGAGTTGGCTCCACACAAAATGCTCTCATTAATTTGTGAGTATCACATCAGCATATTAAGTTGGTATTTCAAAAATACTTCATTAAAAATAACAAATTTGGTGAGTCTAAGAAGCCTTCACTTATTTGACAAACTCAACAAACTCATTTCCTGCTAAAAAAAAACTTACTTAAGTCACTCGAAGTCCAAGAAGTCAAAAAGCTAGAAATATGACAAACAATTTTTTCTAGAAACTAATTTTTTAAATAATTCGTGAAGGAAGCCTAGTGTATAATTTATTTTTTTAATTTCATTTATTATTTTCACCAAGAAAGATTTATGCGCATCCCTTACAAACATATACCAACTTTAATTTGAGAGCTTGGAATTGAATATCATCTACATATGTATTTTTTGTTAACCTGTATCCTTCGAGTACATATTAAGAAACTTAAATGATTATATATTATATACATAAGTGAGTACAATAAAAAATTGTACACTTTTTTTTAAATCTCTTTACATGTAAATTGAATACTTGAGCTTTTTTAAGTGAATAAATACTGGAGTTGGTATTAACACAAAATGTCGTATTTTGTACTTTCTGAAAATGCTCTTCTGTAACTGCAAGGGAAAACTTTAATTGTTAAATTCAATCATATTACAGATTTGTAATTGCCTATATATAAATTTGTTTATGCTCTGTTTGGCATGCAGGACCAATACAACAACCAGGCCAACCAGGAGCCAAACAACATAAAGTAATATTCCACCCACTAACCGGTCAATGTCTCCAAAGAAAATCACTATTGGAGCCATTGAATCTAGATCCATGCACAGACTCTGAGGCTTGGATCTACAACACACAGCAAAAAACAATAACCATAAAAGGAACTTATTTCTGTTTACAAGCAGATGGGCTAAACAAACCAGTCAAGCTTGGTGTGATTTGGAGTGGCTCAACTTCAAAATGGGAGCCCATCTCAGACTCTAATATGCACCTCTCATCCAAGCTTGCCCGCCACGGCGCCCACGTGTGCTTGGATGTGGACCCCAATAACAATACTATCGTCACGAATACTTGTAAATGCTTAAAAATACGTCATAAGTGCGACCCTGCAAGTCAGCGGTTCAAAATTGTTAATATTACTAGAAGTTTGAATCTGACCACGCCTTTCCCTCGATTCAACTCAGTGTTGGACTTCTTCAGAAAGAACATGCTTGGGAGTCTCGTAGTTTTAGCATGAGATAGAGAAGATAGTGATGTATTTATACATACGTAAGAAATATGTGAAAAGAATAAGAGTATTGTTATTCGGGTCTCGTTTGGGAACATGCTAATTTAGTAACTTTTTGGCTATTTAGCTAAAATATGAGCCTAAAAAAACTAGTATGTTTGGGATGACTTTTGACTTTTTATGAAAAGATGTGCAAAAAGTATAGAGAAGAGAATCTTTGACTTTTTGGTATGATTGTTGGTTTTTTGACTAATTTAGTAACTTTTTGACTTTTTGGCTAAAAGGGAGGGTTCCCAAACAAGGCCTCAGTCTCAAAAGTTAGACTTACTTTTTAGACTCAGTGATGTGTCAAGAAAATAATTGGTTGACACATCACTAAGTCAAAAAAATAAACTTGTATATCATTTTTTTAAGAACAAACATATAAGAAACCATTTAGACTGTATTTAAATCATGAATTTGACTACAGATTTGAGAAGACAAAAAGAAAAAATATTTGAAATGCGAATGAAATATAATAATATTTTACTCATCACCTTTTTTTTTCTTTTCTTTTTTTTCCAAATCGTTACGCAAATTCATCGTCTAAATACAGACTAATTAAAGAAGTTTAATGAAGTTCCAGGTACTTTTAGTTTGTTTAAGCAATAAAATCATTTTATTGTGGTCTTTCTTTAGTCTTCTAATATTTGCTTCGCAATGAGTTTCAACTAGAGTTGCAAGACAAATCAAACTACTTGAGCTCACTCTTATTTGGCTTGCTAAAAACATGTTTGAGTTTCAATACATTTTAAAACTTGTTAAGTTTTTAAACTAAACTTAAAACAATCTTTACTTGACTTGACTCAGTTACATGCATTATAAAAAATAAAACTAATCAACCCTCATTAAAACTCTTCTGAGATTGGCTCAAAAGATAAACAAGCAAAACTTAAACACATTTTCAAACTCCATAAGTTTACGAGCCAAATTTAAATAACTTATTACTCTAATTGACTCTGCTCATTTAGATGCTGGGATTCAGAAATTTAATCTTAAAACAGGGAATGGCATTTCATAAGAGATTTTGATTGAAGCTTCTCTATCCTCGTATAGGGGGAAAAAATGATGTTTCCAAATATCACTAGACCTTGTTCTGCATTTTCATCATTTTCAGCAGCATCCACATAACCACAAAAGAGACGAGATAATTTAAACAGTGTTCGTTCTGTGCATGAAAAAAAAAAAAAAAAAAAAAAAAAAAAAAAAAAAAAAAACAACAACAACAACAACAACAACAACAACAGTGGCTCAAAATGATCCTTCTCAGAAATTGCCACTCCTAAATCTCCAGTATTCACATGAGATTCCATACCACCACAAAGATCGCATTTAAATTTTTAATGTCACACCTGATACAATAGGAGAGTAAACAGTGTCATAAATGGCAAGAATTCAATACAAAATACCAAGCATGGTTCAACCACAGTAACTCATTCTTCCATCGCATCTCCTGCTTCAGTCACCTCCACCATCTGTTTCAACGGTGTAATCCTTGTCAACAAAACGTCTGCAATCACAACCAAATGTTACCGTGAGGTTACAAATATTACCCTACAATCCAAGAAATATATAGACTTGGCCATAGCATCAGACTTAAGTTTTCGGTATGAATTGTTGCCCATATATATATATACATTTATCCATTGACCATCACAATATTAATTATCCATATTAGAATAAGCAGAAGACAAAAATCACCAGTCTCATAATATTCTAGCATTATAGTTTAAGAAGTGAGTCCAGTACAAGGTCAGTTGGCAGATAAATGCTAAAATGCTCAATAAATAATGTTATCGTGATAACAATCTCAAAATCAAACAAGATAAGCCTTCATTTTTCTTTTTCTTTTTTTTTTTCTTTTTAATTTAAGTATAAAAATAATAGTACAAAGCCCTGAAACAACAAAAAGAAGACAGTTCTAAGAGTTATATGAAGCAAAATTGTAAATACCAACATGAAGGTAATGTTTAGGACAGAATTACTGACCAGTCTTCTTTGGGAATGAATAGCCTCTTTCATTGATGTAAGTGCGAGGATTGGGCAACTGGTGGTTTCTCAGGTACTCTGTTTGCCCCTGTACAAGCAAACATTGACAAAAGGAGTCTAGAAAGCCATGCCACGTGAAAAGTATCAAGACTACATACGGAAAAAGTGAAACCTTTTATTCTTTTCAAGGAATGTCAGTGTGAATCAACAAACCTTGGTTATTACGCAAACATCAACATTGCTTCCACTTCCCAAGTCATTGAATATGCCAGAGCAAATAGCCTCGGTCACCAACTTCACTCCTTCATCCCTCTACAAATATGTATTTTAACACTTAGAACTCTCAAAAGCATATTGATGGATCATGGCCTTACACGGAATTGGGTAAAACTCAACCCAAAAAACTAACTATTGATGTGAGGGTAACCTCATGTTTTATACTACGTATTACTTTAGTAGCCAAGCGATGTGGGATTTCACTTCACATATGGAGGTAACATTCTCCACGACTGGTTTTAAGGCATGCTTGGTTTGCAAAAATGGAACATAATAGGAATGAGATGCAATCATGCCACAAAGCATGGAATAAACTTTTTTGATGCGTATATCTTTTTCGTACAAAGATTGCACCCTTTGGGCACTTTATAATGAATTTACTTATCAAAAATAAATAAATAAAACTTGACAGGAAAAGTAAGGCAGCCATTTATTTGTTTGGTATAAATCTTTGTATTAAAAAATTGCAAATTTAAAAAATGAGGTTCTACAAATAATACATATTACCTATTTTCTTTTTCTTTTTTTTAATTTTCAATATTAATTCTTTCTTTAAGTTGTATTAAAAGTTTCCATTACACAATGTTATGTTGATCATATGTAGGCTCCTTGTTTTAGAAAATTTTCAAGATACACTAGCGTGAACCCCGTTTGCAAGAATATTGAACATAAGTTACGCAACTCCTATTAGGACAATTGTTACATGTGTTGTTTTAGGATGTATCTAACCACAAAGTGTTCAAACGTAAGAAATTGCACTTTCAAATTAGAATCCGTGCAAGAAATGCTAGTGCTATTTAGAGATAAATACATAACTTTACAAAACATATAATGTCATATAACCTTTTCTTTTTTCTTTTTTTTGTGTGGTAAATATGATACTCCCTCCGTCCCAAAATATTAGTCCCTTATTTCATTTTTCATTGTCCCAAAATATTAGTCCCTCTTCAAAAATCAAGTACAAAAATAATATAAATTTCCTATTTTGCCCTTCTTTTAAATTAATAAACAATATAAAAAGTACAATTTTGCCATTGATATTCCCAAAAAATGTACTATCAAAAGGATAATTTTGGAAAATTAACTTTTTTCAAATGTAATAATTGTACTACCAAAAAAAGTTGGATTCCCCAAAAGGGACCATTATTTTGGGACGGAGGGAGTATAACTGTACCTTTGTAAAGTCAATTACTTTTTACTACTTTATTTTAAATCTTTTAATGCAGTACGATTTTATTATATTTCATATTATGTGTTTGTATAAACCATTAAGACATCTTAGGGTGTAGTGTTATCATATTGTCAGACTCCTTTTCATGGGAATGAAACCCTAATCCCACCTTAAGTTGGCAACAATATTTCCTTAATTCTGGTGTTCATCTAGATTTGCATTTCCATTATCAACATAGCATGCCAAATGCTTTAATGGGATTCCAAAAAAGTTTGCATGCTTGAATCTCATTCCTGTACCTATGATACAATGGGACCTAAAGTCGTGTTTGGTTCATGAATTTGATGAGGAAGGAGAAAAAGAAAATGCAATGAAAACCATTATTCCTTATTTGGTTACAATAGAAAACAAGGAAAAGAAATGCAACTAATGTATGAGAGAAATTTTTAGCTCTAATAAAATTTCTCATCCTTTTTCATGATTTATTCTCATTTCATCAATATATATATATACTCCCTATTTTTTTAAGTAGGAATGAAACACGAAAGAAAACAATATTCCAAAGTAACACAAATTAATCCAAGTTGACTGTATTATATAGACCAATGATAATCTAATAACCCTAAGACACATGATAAAATTTAACTCTAATATAATTTCTCATCCTTTTTCATGATTTATTCTCATTTCATCAAAAAAAAATATATATATGTATATATATACTCCCTATTTTTTTAAGTCGGAATGAAAACACGAAGGAAAACAATATTCCAAAGTAACCCAAGTTAATTATATTTAATATTATGTGTTTGTATAAACCATTAAGACATCTTAGGGTGCAGTGTTATCATATTTTCAAGACTCCTTTCCATGGGAATGAAACCCTAACCCCACCTTAAGTTGGGAACAATATTTCCTTAATTCTGGAGTGTTCATCTAGATTTGCATTTCCATTATCAACATAGCATACCAAATGCTTTAATGGGACTCCAAAAAAGTTTGCATGCTTGAATCTCATTCCTATACCTATGATACAATGGGACCTAAGGTCGTGTTTGGTTCATGAATTTGATGAGGAAGGAGAAAAAGAAAATGCAATGAAAACCATTACTCCTTATTTGGTTACAATAGAAAACAAGGAAAAGAAATGCAACTAATGTATGAGAGAAATTTTTAGCTCTAATATAATTTCTCATCCTTTTTCATGATTTATTCTCATTTCATCAAAAAAAAATATATGTATATATATACTCCCTATTTTTTTAAGTAGGAATGAAAACACGAAAGAAAACAATATTCCAAAGTAACACAAATTAATCCAAGTTGACTGTATTATATAGACCAATGATAATCTAAGAATTCTAAGAAACATGATAAAATTTAAAATCAATTTAACTTGTACATTCTAAACACTTCTACCAATCAGAATACACCAACTTACAGTTAGCCCTTCACGGTATTTTGATTCAAAAACAGACATTGCAGCAAGGGAACCAGAACCCATAGTAGCAAATGGCAGAGTGTCTGTTGATCCATGTGGGTAGATCTGTGCAATGATTCAATAAACAGTTAGTACCTTAGTATGACACAAAACACGATACCCTTCAGATGCCTATTAGTAAAAATCACTTACAGTGTGCAAATGTGGTCCAGTCACATTAACTCCACCAAGCACTAAAGCAGCTGAGACATGACCTTGGTAGCTGGTTCAGTCAAAACAATCAAACCTTGAATTCTAATATGCTAACAGAAAGTACTCGCATATCTAAGAACACCAACCTTGAACTATGTATCCTTACCTAAAAAGATGAGACTTCAAAAGGGTAAGGGCTGTCACAACCCTTGATTCCCGACCAATATGATACCTGTGTAGCTGCAACTGGGAACTGATCATGTCTAGAAAGACAATATTGTCAAAACTTAGCTTATAAAAGGCTGTCTATTGTTGTAATAGCATAACCCTAACTACCAATATTCTGACATAGAACATAAAAATTGAAATTACCTGTCACAGCCTCTGTATCAGCAGCAGTCCCTGCTCCACAGCAATAAATGTTAGGTGCCATAAAGTGGATTTTCTCACAATTCTTATCAGCAACAATGGGCCCTTCGGTAGCTCTTGTATCCGCTCCAAGGATGACCCCATCCTGAATATGAAATGAAAATATCATTATAGATGGAGAGTATAAGAAGCATCTACACAAACAAACCAGTCCGAAGAATCTATGAAATAAAGAAGAGTGGCATACAAAAACACAATGTTAGTAAGCAAATGTGAAAGTGTCCTAGTGTGTATATGACAACCTAAATTTTTTGCGTAATGTCAACCTAAATTTTTTGTGAGGGGGAGAATATGACAACCTAACATTTTTGTGAACCTAAATTACTTTTATTGCGTTGAATTGAACCTATGTCATTTTTTGTGTAATGTCAACTTTGAACAACTTAAGCACTTGGTTGTATACTTTGTTACAATTTAAAAGTCCTAACCTCGGTCAATTCAAACTATGAATAACTGTTAAACCCATCAAACTCCCTTTCAATTTGTTAGGTTGCACAAAAATCATTCTCTCAAAAATCATTCTCTCAATTTCGATGAAGCAAAACCTAATTATTGGAGAAGTACTCTCTATTCTCTCGTGATTTAACTTTTTAATAAGAGTACAATTAGTCAATCATGCATTTCTAAATTTGTCCAGCTCAATACAAAACATGAAACACATTCATCTCACAAGGCAATACAAATTATATATCAAATTAAGTCTCAAAATAAAAGAGATGAACACAAGATTTTATAGTGGTCCTATAACAACCCGACTCTCTTATATGCTTTAATTCTCTCATTATATGTGTGATTATATGTGTGCTTAATGTGAAATTCCATATTTAAATGTGTGAATTACATGTTTCTAAACTTGTATCTGTTGGTTATGAGAAAATTTGTTGAAATTCCAACCTTTGGACTGGAAATTGAAAGCCTTAGAGGCGCGATAAACCGAAATTGACTTTACAGTTATGATTAGCATGATTTTTAGGACACAATATGAAGTTTTGTAAAAATTTGATTCGCAATGAAGTAATTGGATTCATTTGGCTAAATTCTTAATTGAGCCCAATTAGATTCAATAAGCTTAAGTGACATAGGACATGTGTAAGAGCCTTATGAGACTTAGACTCAACACAACTCAAAATATCTCCTGAAGAGAGAGCTTCTAGAGGAAGGAAGAAGAGAAAAGAAAGAGAGCAAAGGAGAACTCAACCTAGAGCTTGAGATTGAGGAATTGAAAGGGAAAAATCAAGATTATAGCTCAAGGCAAGTGTAAATCAACTAGAATACTCTAAATCTTGCTTCAATTGGTTAAAATCAAGACTTAAAATGAAGCTTTGACACTCATAAAAGTTAGGGATTATGGATTATGATCTTGATTGAACACATTTCATGAAAATGAACATGTAATCTTTGGGTTGTGTGATTAAAAAGTTAATTCCTTTATTTTTAGTTTGATTTGGGTTGGATAGTGAGAAATTGTGATTTAATCTTGAGTCTTTGCATGCTTTGAACTCATGTAAATACAAGTATAACATGAAACGATGAAGGAAATTAAGGACATATGGAAATTAGTGTTCTATATATCAAATTAAAGTAAGTTATGATCGCTGAGTTTCATGCTTATTATGTTTATATGTCATGTGTTTGAAGTGAAAGTGCTTGAAATGGGCCTTAGAAATACATTTGGAAGGCTTGAATTTGTTAGATTTTCGGACTTTACAAACAGAGCCCAAAACCGCACGTGGAAAACAGAGCAAGCAAGTAGAACATTCTGAAATAAAAGCACGTGCGGGCCACAAGTGTGGCACACTTTTCCGCACGTGCGGTGGGGCTTCCACACGTGTGAGAAATAGGGAGGAAAATTAATGCATTTTGTTTATCTTTTCGACCCTCTGAATCTATTAATGTGTGTATGTAAGCCCTCCCGAAATGCTTAAAGATGAATAGAAATTGAACGAAATGGAAAAATAAGTAAAGAGAAGAAGCTAAGAAAAGAATGAATTGCTTATCAAGTTGCGTGTGTGTAATGCATAGGTCACTCGCCGGAAGGGACCGTTACACGACCGAATCACAGTGAGTAATAGTATTGTAAATATCTGTTCTTATTTAATTCTCTATTTTATTTTGATATGAATGATGTGGCTAATTGCTATTTTGGAAAGATTGAATGATATATATATGACATTGGATTATGATATAAATGCGCTACGAACGTTATAGAATGCCTTGTTATGAATGGTAAAGGATGCTTGACGAATGTTAACGAACGAAAGAAATGTGGACCTAAAGTCATTCTGTTCCTGTTATAAGTGATGGGTCCGAGGCTGTTATGGGCCTAAGGCTGTAGGGAATGGAGACGTGTCGATATTCCATCTTCTCTATGATAAGATATGTTTGGACCTGAGGTTGTTCAGAATAGCTGTTACTATGTTGGGTCTGAGGCCGTTCTGCATTACGTTGGGCTCAAGGCCATTCTGTTCTATGTGAGAGATGAAGACATGTCGATGTTCCATCTTCTTTATGATAAGATATGTTTGGACCTGAAGTCGTTCTGAACAATTGATATCATGTGATTGGGCCCGAGGTCGTTTTGTTACATGTGAGCCCGAGACTGTTCCGCAATAAATGGGCCTGAGGCCATTCTGAAAATGTGATTATGAATAACGTTATGCTTAGCGTGACTATGATAGATACTCTGAATATTGCACTTTGGACAAATATTGGGTTTACATCACATGCCTTCATTTAATTTACTTTACTATTATTCACTGAGCTTCGCCCACTCGGTATTTATATATATTTATGTAGGTGTTCAACTCGGATGTCAGTCCTAGGTCAGCTTCAAGAGTCTTTTTGGTGGACCTTCTTTGATAAGCCTCCAAAAAGGAGCCTTTTGTCTTTTGGGATTTTTCTGTGATGGCAAATTTTGTTTAAGTCTTTGGTAACTTTTGTTTGGACACCTTGTTAACATGTAATTTTTTAATTGCTAACTCCTTGTATATACCTGCATGACTCGTACTTGAATGTATGAATTGTGTATGTGAACTTTCTCTATATGACATGATGTTTAAAATACTGACATATAAGCACTGCTCAATGGGCGTTATATTATTTTATTTACTTCCGCTTAGGCCCCATTATTATAAATTCTCTGTAATCTGTCTGAGGCCGTAAGTAATCAAGAGGTCACTGGCCGGTCATGATCCAAACTTTTAAGAGCAGGTTTGGGTCGTGATAGGTCCAGCAACTTGCCTACATCCACTCCAGCCTCCATGTCGGCATTAATCCACTATTCAAACAGGTTTTCACTAGGGCAACCCAAAACCTTTGCAAATACTCCTTCAAAGATTTTCACTAGGTTACACTCTAAACCTCTTCCACAACACTACAGTGGGTTTACGCCCACCAAAAACTACAACCTCCAAATCAAAAACCGAAAAATCACTAGATTTACAAAAGCTAGAACATGGACTTCAAGAAGGAAAACCAATACCCTTAAGTCCAAACAAAGTCTTATAGGTGAGAGGTTTGTGGTGTGTCAACAATAGTGTATAAACTACAATAATGGAATGATGTTTATGCCTTTCACAAGTTAAGAACTTGGAAGATTCCCTTGGAGTAAACTCTTGGAAGCACTTGTGTAAGGAATGGAGGCTACAACCTCTATCTAAGGTCGGATTCAAAAATGTGCATGAAATTTTATAAAAGTTGAGGTATATAGAGCCAAGCTACCAACGGCTAGTTAACGATATTTCTAAATTTTTTTAATTTTTTTTTGAAAGTGTATACTTTGTTCTCCAACTTCCACCAACTCCACGATTTGGTGATATGCATTTAATTACATCACTATCATGCCAAATCTAATGATTTTAAAAGTTGGAAATGGTCCAATAAAATTGTTCTAAAATTTCAATTCTGAGTAAATAAATATCTACTTCACATGAATGATAAAGTTCTATAAATAAATAAATAAAAAATACTAGATCACATGAACTGTGGTGTAGATGCCCATGATTCCTACTTATAAGGCATGAATCCCTCATATAGTAGACTCAGTTCCCCTCACAGAACTAATGATGATTTCAATTAACAAAATATCATTTATTATTTAATTACTATAAAATCAACTCAAAGGTTATGGGAACAAATATCACAATTTCCCAATAATCTGCTATGACAACTTAAATCTATCAGATTATACACCTCGCCATAGTGAAATTTGAATCAAATCAAACCTGGAAAATAAGTCCGACGATAGTAGTGCCGGTCTTGAGAAAAGACGGAGATTGAAGGCCTTTCTTTATGAGCATTTCATTCCTTCTACAAAGGTCGAAGCTAAACCCACCCTTCATTGGAACATCTATAGCTGCCTTACACATTTTCGAATATGCACCACACCAGCCTACTCATACGGAATACATAAACAAATTTATTGATCAGATTAACCTAATTTGCATCACAAATCGCATAATTGCATTGTTACTACACCATCATTAGCGCAAATGAAGTTCTTGAAAGAAAATAAAACAAGTTCATAGAGAAATTTGCATTAAAAAAATACACTTAGGGCGGTTTGAAGCTTGAATTTGGTATGAAGATTAAGAACATATATTTATTAGGGGTATTCGCGGATCGGTTTTGTGCGGTTTGCAGTTCGGTTTTGACCCGCCCACACCTGTGCAGTTTGGGAAAAAATCAAACCGCAACCGCCCATAGTGCGGTTTGCGGTTTGTGCGGATAGGGTTTGCAGATGTGCGGGCAGTTGCAAGCGGTTTGTGGTTTGCGGTTTGAATTTTTCCCTTTAAAAATTAGTTCACTAAAACTTACAAATCATTCAAAATCAATTTTCTAAAATGCTTCAAAATCAATTCCTAAAATTACAAATTCAATTTCAATAATTCCAAATAGAAATGCAATCACCATTGAAACAAATCACCATTGAAATCACAAATTTAAAAATGAATAGATTTAATTCCAATCACCATTGAAACAAATCTTAGTCACACAAATAGAATCTTAGTCACACAATAACATATTTAATTCCAATCTCAGAGATCTGTTGCTACCAAAAAATAAAAAAAATAAAAAATCTGATTGCATAAACAGATCTAATTGCCTAACATAATTTACATTTCAAAAAAATCTGATCGCATAAACATAATGTGATTGCATAATTTACATTACATAGACGGATTGGTTTGGAATTCAAGCCTGACAACCCTCTTGCAAATTCAAGTAATCACTGACACTTCTCTGGATCACCAAAGAAAATAAATGATTGTGATATGCGAGAAAAAGAAAAGAAATTGTATTTTTTAATTAAGATTAATTATACTTTATTCCATTGTGATTTAGTCCAAAAATACAGTATCTTATGATTTAAAAATATATATATATATATAATCGTATAATTTAAAAATATACACATAATTCCTTGCTTTCTGGAATATAATGTAAAAATAACCAATTCTATTACATTTAACAGCAACAGCAAAGCACGCACCAAATTAAGTGTGTGACAAGTCTCAAACATGTTTGGCCAAAATAACTAGGAACTTTTATTTTTGCCCTTCTAATTTTTCCTTCTTTATTTTACTGTTTCTTTTTTTCTTTTCAATCCTCTTCTTCCTCCACCTTTTCACTGTTAACAGCAATGATCGAACCATTCTCTTCTTCCTTTTTCTTTTCACCACTGCACATAATCTCCTCCTCCTCATCTCCCTATCTTTTTTCCTTGCTTCAACAACCCAAGGTCACCATGGGACCACCTCACACTACAGCACACAAATATACACACACACTAAAATGGGTTATTAATTTGGAATAATTTATGTTTTATAGATATCATAATAAGTGATACCTCTGATGAGAATGAGCTGAGACATGAACCATTCCCAAATACCTCCCAATGTATCATATACCTTAGACAGTTGTTTTCGATGGAGATAGTTTCGGATGATTTGAGCTCCGATTGAGTCAGCAATGGAATGTTTGTAATAGCTTGTGAATGGATTGGTAGCTTTTGCTACTATTTCTCAAGAATTTTTTTTTTTTTTTGGAACAGAATATTTCTCAAGAAATTAAAATTTATTTTCTCTCTACTGTGTTGTGGGCTTTAAGAAACAGATTTTTTGGGAGCAAATAAATATAGAAAAATACTTTGGAGCTTTAATTATTGCGTTGTAAAACCAATTCTAATGAGTTGGCAATGGGTCCCTACACACTATTAGAGCATCAAAATTAGTGTTATAAATCATTGCTGATAAATATATGTGTTTATATTATTATATATATATCGAGGTCTCTGGATTTGGTCCGAGCTGCAAAAGTTACATTTTCGAAAGGAAAAAAATTGACGTCGGAGGGTGGGTGGTCTGCCATGGTATAAGAAAGAACGGAGAGAAGAAGAAAATGGTAAAAACAGAGAAAAGTGGAAGACAATGGAGTCTCATTCATTTTATTTTATTTATTTTTTAAACTATAAAATGGAGTCGGGTTGATAATGGCACTAAGAAAAAAATTAAACAAAAAGATAAGTGTTATATAGGCTTTTTACAGAAAATATTAACGGAGTTGGACTTTGCAGTTTACTCCATACTATAAGGGAGTTATGTGTATATTAGAGTTAATTATCTAAAAATTCTATTTATAAATGTTATGATAACTCAGATCTTATTTAAGATTTTTTGAATCAGTGAGTTCTATTTAGTAAAACTGAGAATATTATCAATTTTTCTATATTTTTAAAACGAAGAACATTATCAATTTTGAATAGTAATATTTCAGATAATTGTTTCACTAACTGGGAAAAAAAATAGATCATGAGATTAAACGTTTTTACCCATCTACTTATTACTATCCAATATAATCAAAAACATTATCAATTTTTTCAATTTTAAAACTGAGAATATTATCAGTTTTTTCAAACTTTTTTTTTTCAGTTTTGCATATTAATGTTCCATCATCATGCTCCTTTATAGACACAATTTTCAATTTTGCACAAAAAATAATTCACTTTTTTTCTATTTTGCACATATATATATATATATATATATTTCCAATTTGAAAGTTTTGAAAATCAAAATAAATGTCAAATCATCATGTTCCGTTATAGATAATCATAATGATGAACAATTATTGTTTGAAGGGCAATTCGGACTATTAAAAATTTAATGAGATTTGAAGGTCAAAAAAATCTTAATTAAAACTTAATGAAGTATAAATTCATAAATTAAGATTTGTGTGTAAATGTCTCATTTCTTAATCACAAGAGGTAACGTGTTTTTGAGTTAAACCATAAGGATAAGGAGTAAAATGTAATTAACCTTTTTAATTATCATGTTTGGATGACTAAAAATAAATAAATAATATAAGAGTGGACTATGAGTTATGAGTGAGATTTTTTTTCTTTCTTTGTATTTTATATCTAATCAATTTATTTCTTACCAAATCATCCCATACAAAAGGGTGTCCGCGGTTCGGTTTGGGACGGTTTGCGGTTCTGTTTGGACCTGCCCGCATCTTTGTGGTTTGGAGAAAAGTCGACCCGTAACCGTCCGCAATGCGGTTTGCGGTTTGTGCAGATAGGGTTCGCGGACGTGCAGGCGGTTTGCGGATTGAACTTTTTTTTCAAAAATTTATTTTTTTCAATTTTACAGATTTAATTCAAAAAATTAAATTAAATACAGATTCAATTTCACAGATTCAAGTTAACAGATTGAATCAAATTAAATCAAAAATTAATTCCAAAAAACAGATTTACTGTTAATAACAGATTGAATTCCAAAAAAAAACATCTGAATTCCCAAATTGAATTCAGATTGAATAACAAAAAACTTTTAATTCAAAACCACAGATTGAATACTATTTTAATAACAGATTCCCAAAAAACTTTTAATAACAGATTGAATACTATTTTAATTTTAATAACAGATTCATCACAGATTGAATTCAATACAGATTCATCACAGATTTAATTCAATACAGATTCATCACAGATTTAATTCAATCCAATACCACAGATTTAATTCAAAAAAACACAGATCTGTTGCAACAGACAAAAAAATAAAAATAAAAATAAACATAGACAGATCTATGAATTAAAAAATTATACAGCCACAGATAGATTTAATTCCAAAAATTAAATAACAGATTTAAATAACTGACAGATTTAATAACAGATTTAATTCCAAAAGTTAACAGATTGAATCAAATTAAATCAAAAATTAATTCCAAAAAACAGATTTAATACAGATTCAATACAGATTATTCAAAAAACACAGATCTGTTGCAACAGACAAAAAAATGAAAATAAAAATAAACATAGACAGATCTATGAATTCCAAAATTATACAGCCACAGATAGATTTAATTCCAAAAATTAAATAACAGATTTAAATAACTGACAGATTTAATAACAGATTTAATTCCAAAAGTTAACAGATTGAATCAAATTAAATCAAAAATTAATTCCAAAAAACAGATTTAATACAGATTCAATACAGATTGAATTCCCAAAAAAATAGATTCCATACAGATTCAAAACAGATTCCAAAAAAATAACAGATTGAATTCCCAAAAAAAACATCTGATTCAATACAGATTCAACACATTTTAATTTAAATTTTAATAACAGATTCATCACAGATTGAATTCAATACAGATTCATCACAGATTTAATTCATTCCAAAAACACAGATCTGTTGCAACAAACCAAAAATAAATAAATAAATAAACACAGACAGATCTATGAACTGCTACTCCAAACACAGACAGATCAAAGATCGGGGAGAGTGAGAGAAAGAGAGACAGAGAGAGAGGCTTACTTTACTTGTGAGGTCGATCGGTGTAGATGCAAAACCAGAGAGTGAGAGACTGTGAGATGAGAGAGTGAGGGAGGGAAACAGATCAGAGACACAAAGATCTGATATGTTGGAAAAAAAACCAAAGATCGGGGAGAGAGACACACAGACAGAGACTGAGATTCAGAGAGGAGCTTACCTGTGAGGTGTGCGATGAGGTCGATCCGTTGATCGGTCGATTAGTCCATCTTGCGACGAGAGAGAGAGTCGATCAGTGGTGTAGGCTGTGGAGATGAAAATCGCGAGGGTGAGAGTGAGAGTGAGAGTGAGCGTGAGAGTGAGACAGAATGAGATAGATAGCGTGAGAGATAGATAAGATTGATTAGGTTTTCTTTTTTGAACGGTCAGATTTGAAGGGAAAAAAAAAGGGGAGTGAGCGTGAGAATGAGATAGACAGAGGGCGAGATAGGTAAGATTGAAAAGGGTTTTCTAAAGAATTTAAAAAACTATTTTTTTTTGAAGAATTTAATAAATAACTTTTTGAACATATATTTTTTTAATATTCAATCAATTTAATTTTTTATAGGTATGATATATTGAATAATTCTTAAAATATGAACAGTTTAAATTATCAAAATTGAGCCTAAAAGTGGGTCCGATGGCCCTGCAAGGAGGGAGTGCAAGGGGAGGATCCCAATTTACTCAATGCATTAGGCTCCTGCTAAAATAGGATCTGGAGAGGGCAATATGTATACAGCCTTACCGATGTGTATGGTATTTGATGATTTATATGTCAATGGTCTTGCACACTAACATAAATCATTACGTAGTGGTTAATTAGACATTATAAAATTTAGTTTTCAGTAACCTCTGTTGATGATCTAGAAAACTAAAAAGGGTCCAGGTGACTCAGTGCACGAGGGTCTCGCTAACATGGGCTTTAGAGTGGGCATACATTGCCTTTCCTCCATTTCTGGTGAGGTTATTTCAGTGTATTAAACTGCATCACCAGAAATGCCAACGACAAGACATATGTGAGGGTCCAAGAGTTACTGTTCCATTCAAGGGTTCAGTGCCTTAATAAAGTATATTGCACCGTGATACGGATCATGAACTTTAGAGACACGAGAGTAGATTGAAGAACTACTGACGTTAACAAAGAAAACGAGAATAAGTCTATGGTTTTTCATTTGATTCAAAGAAAGGAGGATTGACAGTTTCTAAATTTGTAATGGTTTGCCTGTTTAATCAGTCTGAATTGGTAGGTCATGATTAATCAAAGTTGTTAACCATCAAGGCTTACATTGCAAGCCCACTATTACTAACTAACGTCACAAAACTCAGCATTCAAATATTCTACACACTACTAAGCACAATTGGATGGATAGCTCAAAGTCCACTTCGAATGTTTACTTAGCACCAAAGACCTTGCTTCAGGTTTCCGATGCACATGATGGTGCCATTGCAAAGAGTGGCATATGCAACGTTAAGGTGGTTGGATCAGAAAAAACACTGGGACACACCATCTATAAAGTCTCACATAAGGTAATTTCCTCCCTCTCTCCCTCTCTTATGTATATGTATTGGAATTCTATGTACCTAGAAAAATATTCAGAAAAGTGCCCAAAATTTGAATATATGGCTCACACACAATAAATCTGATACACATTTAAAATTCCGAACATATTTTTGGAGTATTTGCAGGGCATAGTGTTGTTGGGATTTAGATCGTTCCATTACATGATTATAATGGAGATCTCCATTACAATGCATAAGGTTGCAACATGTCATTAAAAGTCAAATCAACAGTATGTAATTGTATTGTTATTTTGAATTTTTGATTCTCCTGAACTGTTTTTTGAATGAAATAAAGGTATCTTGATATGACTCTTTGACAATCATTGATGATGTAATGGAGAGGATCAAGATCGGTATTTTTGTTGTATGTATATATAGAATTGGCTAAGGATTTTCTACCTCCAAATCTCTGTTTCCTTGTCTGAAAACACCCACAAATATTGTATCATACGAGAATCTCAAGATGCGGAAATCCTGAAACATGATCCAATAGTTATGAGTATTTTGGAATAGGAGAAAAGGAAAATTTGAAACAGAAGATTCTGTGTCATATAGAATCATGGATGCATAATACCAATTTTGACTGCAGATACTCTTCAACTACTCCATGGGTGGGAATCCACACGAAAAGACAAAGGTCTTGTTTGACATATTAGGGCATTACAAATGGGATGCAAAAGCAGTTTTAGTGCTATCAGCTTTTGCAACAAGCTATGGTGAATTTTGGCTCATAATGCAGCTTTACCCTTGCAATCCCTTGGCAGCATCTATTGCATTGCTAAAGCAGTTGCCCAAGGACTTGTGCTTGTTGAAGCATCTTTTTAAGGTCTTGAATGTGTTGATGAAAACGATTGTAGATTTGATAAAGTGCATCATTGAGTTCGAAGAATTGCCGGTGAATCATGTGATCCTGGATTGTGAGGTAATTGGCACTACAAATGTAACAACCCTCATACTGTTTACCGATTAATGACTGATTGGTTACCGATAACCATTGATTACCGTTAAATTGAACTGATTATGACTGATAATTGAACTGATTCAAGTACTGAACTGACTGACTGGAATCTGGAAGTAATTGACTGACTGTATCTGTTTAAATGCATAGTAATTGCATTCTATCTGTTGATTGATTATTTGATCTGTTCGTGTTTTATGTTTAAACTGCTAATTGAAGGCCTTATCGGCGGCCGAATCCGGAATTGATTGATATTTTATGGCCATTGTAATTTATGTGAAATTATGGTATGGTTATCCGAAAACTGATTAGGTATGATTAAATTAGATTAAAATGAGTTAAATTGCAATAGTTGCCTTATTTACCAAACTAGCCTTGTAGTGGCCCACTACCTCAAACCTTTTGAGCCTTATTACACTTAATGCATTTGATTAAAACCAACATTTTATCAGCCTTTGTGTTGCCTCTAACCGACCAAGAAGAGAGTTAGAGAGAGAGAGAATTGTTTTTGTTGATTTAGCTTGAGAATCTTGAAGAATTGAAGGAGTTTTGTACAATTGAGCTTCCCTATCCTAAATACAAGACTTAAGGTAGCTCCATTGTCTTCTTGTTCATGTTTTGAGTGGATTCTTGCATGGTTCATGTCATATTGATGGAGTTTAGAGCCAATCATGGGTTAGATGTTGAATTGTAGCTTGATTGTTGCATGCATGTTGCCATTCTTGAGTTTTGAGGTTGTAGTTCATAATACCTCACATACATGTCCATCTTTTGGTCATACTCCATGAGTTCATCTTGTTTTTTGAAGGTTTGAGCTCTTTTGAAACAGCATTAAAGCTTTGAAAATGATTTAAGATCATGCATGTCATGTTTGAGGATTGTTCTTGGAAAATGGTTTGAAATTGGGTTTGAATAAAACACCCTTGGGCTTTGATTTCTCAAATTGAGTTTTGAATCATGTCATTTTATATGTTTGCAAGAGTTTTCCAGAAAATGAGCCCAAGAGGATCGGTTTTGAGTTGTTAACAACTTGGTTTTGAGCTTGGAGGTGCAATCTGGGTTTTCCAGATTTTGCACTCCCGCTCGAGCGGGGAAATTGGCACTCGAGCGTAGAATCCGAGCATCCAGTATCTCTGCACTGTTTTACATTCCGCTCGAGCGGAGGAATGGGCGCTCGAGCGGAGTCATGTCTCAAGCTCGAGCGGGCGTCGAGCGGAGATTTCACCCATCCAGTACTTTTACAGTACGCTCGAGCGGGAAAGTTCACGCTCGAACGAGTACCTTTGTTGCATGACCGCTCGAGCGGGGAAACGTGCGCTCGAGCGGGACTCTGTTTTTTCTGAAAATGTTTTAAATGTGCATCTTTGCATCCTCATCCCATTCTAGGCATTCTTAGGCCTAGTTTAAGACATCTTGTTGAGGATATAGATGTAGAACAAACCGAGGCAAATTAGGGATTAAGTTGTTATCTTTCCCAACTGTGTAGCTTAGTGTGTGTTCAATCTGTTACCTGTGTAGGGTTGGCGACTGGGGAGACACGCTCTAGCACACTGTAGCCCAAACTCTGTGAGTAACAATTGTGTAAAGATATGTTCAAATGATTATCTTCTGAATACTGAACTGAATCGTTTACTGAACTGATATTGTTTACTAAATGAATGTATGTCCTATCTTCTGAACTGTATTGTGGCATCCTTAGCACCTACTGTTTAATGTTACTGTTACAGAGATCTCTGTCGGTTCCCTCGTGGAACCACTACTGTTTACTGATTGATGGCCATCATTACTGTTCGGTCTCCACGACCTACTGTTTACTGCTATGCTAATGGATGTACCGCATATGACTGAATAACTGTTCTGACTGAAAGATTGAAGTATTGTTTAATGAACTGATTTCATTACTGTAAGGACATTTCATTCATAACCTCTTTACGCATTATGTTATTCACTGGGCTTTAGCTCACTATTTATATATATATGTAGGTGCTCAGCCACCAGATCGGAGCTAGGAGCGTGGGTTAGACTCCAGTTTTGTCAAGCCAGCCTTTGTGCCTCACTGAGAGGTTCCGAGTTGCCATGCTATGGCTTTGGGGTGTCTTGTTTTTCCCCCGTCTGTCTCCATACTGTTTGGATTACTGTATAGATACTGTTATCAAGGGATTAGGTCCCTGTACTGCATGACTGTAAATTTTGTATAGACTGTACTGTTTGTATATGTGAATGCATGAAAACCTTTTTGGCATACAGACTGACACAGCTCAATGGACATTATTCATTTACTGTATTGGCTTCCGCCAGGCCCTGTACTCTGTTTTACTGTACTACTGTTCTGCAGGCCTTCGGTAATCTCGGATTACTAGCCGGTTACGATGCTAAACCCATAGGGCCGGGTTTGGGTCGTGACAACAAACTTTCAGATCTACATGGCTACTTACTGGATCATTAGAAGTGCCTTGATATGCTTTTCCCAAATTAAAGACTTGAGGGCCATGAAAAATGTGGAAGTGCATGTTCCTTCTCTTCAATCTGGTCACCACATGCTGAATTTTGTTGTCTACTTTTATCGTTTCTATTGAATATTCAAGGGATCATAAGATAATTATGAATGTGATGAATTCAATTTATTTCCAATGAAGAATATTAATTTTTGTGACTGGTATTTTGTATGCTATAATGAAGTAATATGTTTTTATTTTTATTTTTATTTTTTGGCTTTTTTTACAGGCATTCAAATTCAGTAACCATTGCTTCATGGAAGCTCTCAAGCTTGGTGGGTAGGTTGAGCACCATAAGCAGTCACCTCAGGCGGCAGGTGGATGCTTGTTATAAGTTGATAGGTAAATGTTCTTCAAAACCTTTGGAAGCCTTTCAATGTTGAAATGAACTACTTGTTGGAAAATCTGGAACATGATAAGTATTGGACACTAACCCCGAATTTTGAAATATGGGTATTTACTCACTTGTGATCTATAGCCTAATTTTGGGGTGAACCACAAAAATCTTGTGTGTGCATGTGATTTACAATCCTTGTATTTTTTGCTTTTTTTACAGGCATTCAAATTCAGTAACCATTGCTTCATGGGAGCTCTCAAGCTTGGTGGGTAGGTTGAGCACCATAAGCAGTCACCTCAGGGCAGGTGGATGCTTGTTATAAGTTGATAGGTAAATGTTCTTCAAAACCTTTGGAAGCCTTTCAATGTTAAAATGAACTACTTGTTGGAAAATCTGGAACATGATAAGTATTGGACACTAACCTCGAATTTTGAAATAAGGGTATTTACTCACTTGTGATCTATAGCCTAATTTTGGGGTGAACCACAAAAATCTTGTGTGTGCATGTGATTTACAATCCTTGTTTATTTGTTCTTCTTTGTTTTTGTATCTTACCGATCTTTATTAGGTGTTCTTCGATTCCTAACACTATCAACTTTGAATTTCATATTTTCACCCTTTTGTGTCATATAGAGACAAAGATGCATAACAAGCTCTTGGATCTCTCTAAGGAGAGCCACATTGATAACCAAGAGGTGCTTGAGATGTTGTTTGCTTTGAAGGATAGCTTGCCTCTGAAGGATTCTTCCTCCCAAGCAAAGGTAGGTTTTCTCTAGAAATTTCTAGTATCGTTCACAGTTGATTGTCCTGCTTTAGCTAAAACCATTTTTGCTTTAATGCACTGTCACTCCTGGCACGTCAAGTCGCACTTTTTCCTATATGACCAATCACGAGTGGTCGGGATCAAAGTTGACATGGTGGTTGTGGCCTCAGAGGCTCATTTGTAATTTTTGTTGTATACAATAGAACTATATATTTGGGATGTCTAAAACAGAAACATTCTAATCCTTCATTAGCCATTTACTTCACTAAATAACAATGGGCTTTGGACTTATTTGACAGATTGCGTTGTCTGAACTGAAAAGCAAGGTAGTGATACTCTTGGTCTCAAGGCCAGAACTCCTCCCTATAGAAGTGTTACTCTTGCTGGTGTAACAGATGCTTGATCATCCTTACCGTGTGAATTTACAAGGAAGCTATGAAATTGTATGGGTTCTCATTCCATCATCGGATACGTGGACTGATGTAGAAGAACAGAATTTTGATTTTTTATCAAACTCATTACCATGGTTTTCAATTCAGCGACCATGGTTACTCTGCTCAATAGTGGTGAAATCCATTAAACAAGCATGGGATTTCAAAGAGAAGCCCTTAATGGTAGTATTGGATACACAAGGTATGGTTACAAACTTAAATGCAATTGACATGGCCTTGATCTGGGTTGCCATGGCCTTTCTCTTTTCTACTTCACGAGAAAATGAGGTATGGGAAGAAAAAACTTGGAATCTCCAACTATTACTTGACGGAATTGATCCTCTGGTAGCAAAGTGGGTATGCTTTTGATTCAACTTTTATATTGAGGCATCCTTAATTCAAACAAGGGTTAATTTCACTTTTTTCTACCATACTATGGCTTTCTTTTCTATTTCATCCTTAAACTATCAATTTAATCTATTTATTCCCTAGAGTTTCTAATATTAGGTGATGTGGTCCAATTGGTGACAGTTGTCTAAATCAGTAACCGTTAAAGCCTAATTTGATAGGCAAAAAAGTCATTTCAAAATTTGACTAACTCAAACCATTTAACCATATACTCACTTTTCTGGAATCTCCAACTATTACTTGACGAAATTGATCCTCTGGTAGCAAAGTGGGTATGCTTTCGATTCAACTTTTATATTGAGGCATCCTTAATTCAAACAAGGGTTAATTTCACTTTTTTCTAGTATACTATGGCTTTCTTTTCTATTTCATCCTTAAACTATCAATTTAATCTATTTATTCCCTAAAGTTTCTAATATTAGGTGATGTGGTCCAATTGGTGATAGTTGTCTAAATCAGTAACCATTAAAGCCTAATTTGATAGGCAAAAAAGTCATTTCAAAATTTGACTAACTCAAACCATTTAACCATATACTCACTTTTCTTATTCACTATTTTGAAATGAGAGGTGAAAAAGAAGGTGAGTGTTTGGTTGTAGGATGTAAGTAGTCAAATAAAATGTGAGTAAGAAGATGTGTGTTTGGTTGTCTAATTTAAGTTATCCAAATTGTAAAATTACTTTTTTGCTCATTAAGTTAGGTTTCTTTCCATTATTAATTTAGACGGACCGTCTCCAATTGGATTCTATGAATTGATATAAGAAATTGTAATAGACGAAATCTATAGTTTAGTAATGAAATAGAAAAAATAGCAGCAGATTATGAAATAAAAGTAAAATCAACACTTCGAACAAAGATTTGATTTATTCAAGATTTTTTTTATAATTTTGTATCAATCACACATTAATTTCAGGTAGAAGAGGACCAAAACCTTTGCATTTATGGAAGCAACAACATAGATTGGATTAGAGAATTCAATGCTAAGATGAGGAACATGACAAGTGCAGGACTGCAGCTTAAGATGGTCTATGTTGGCAAGAAAAATTCAAGTGATGATCATATGAAAAAAAATTTAGCCACCCTGTATGAGGAAAAGCTGACAAGTTCTTTAACTTGCACAAAGATTTATTTCTTTTGGCTTCGGTTGGAAAGCATGAGAAGATCAAAACTCCGATTAGGACATACAGATGATCATGAAGATGAGATTCTAAAACAGTTGTCGGAGTTACTAGACACCAATGATGAGAGTGAAAAAGGTTGGGTACTACTGGGAAAAGGGTCTTCGACAGAGACTTTGAAGCTTCAAGGGAGAAAAATTATGGAATGCTTGGATCTTTTTCCAGTGTGGGGAGAAAATGTGGCCATGTTAGGGTTAGTGGGTGCGATTACAACTGCACTCGAACCACCTCTTCTTGTTGAGCCTTGCAGTCACTCTAATATTATACAATTTGTTGAAGGATTGAAAGACACAATAATTTGTGATAAATGTAAGCGCCTCTTGGAGAAATTTGTGGTCCACAAATGTGATGGAACTGAGTAGGGTGCCCTATCCGAGCCTTATGAGACTTAGACTCAAAATTTATGGTCTACAAACATGTATAAGAGCCTTATGAGACTTGGACTCAACACAACTCAAAATATCTCATGTAGAGAGAGCTTCTAGAGGAAGGAAGAAGAGAAAAGAGAGAGAGAGCAGAGAAGAACTCAACCTACAGCTTGAGGTTGAGGAATTGAAAGGGGAAAATCAAGATTATAGCTCAAGGCAAGTGTAAATCAACTAGAATACTCTAAATCTTGATTCAATTGGTTAAAACCAAGACTTAAAATGAAGTTTTGACACTCATAAAAGTTAGAGTTTATGGATTATGATCTTGATTGAACATATTTCATAAAAATGAACATGTAATCTTTAGGTTATGTGATTAAAGAGTTAATTCCTTTATTTTTAGTTTGATTTGGGTTGGATTGTGAGAAATCGTGATTTAATCTTGAGTCTTTGCATGCTTTGAACTCATGTAAGCATATATGTAAGCATATACAAGTATAACATGAAACGATGAAGGAAATTAAGAAAATATGGAAATTAGGGTTCTATATATCAAATTAAAGTAAGTTATGATCTCTTTGAGCTTGAGTTTCATGCTTATTATGTTTATATGTCATGTGTTTGAAGTGAAAGTGCTTGAATTGGGCCTTAGAAATGCCTTTGGAAGGCTTGAATTAGTTGGATTTTCAGACTGCACAAATAGAGCCCAGCACCGCACGTGCAGGGCTCATAGCCGCATGTGCGGGATACACAACTGCATGTGCGGGACTCACAGCCGCACGTGCGGGGCTCACAACTGCATGTGCGGAAAATAGGGCAAGCAAGTTGAACATTCTAAAATAAAAGCACATGCGGGCCGCACGTGCGGCACACCTTTCCGCACGTGTGGGAAACAATAAGGGAAATTGATGTATTTTGTTTATCTTTTTGACCCTCTGAATCTGTTAATGTGTGTATATAAGCCCTCTCGAAATGCTTAAAGATGAATAGAAATTGAATGAAACGGAAAAATGAGCAAAGAGAAGAAGCTAAGAAAAGAATGAATCACTTATCAAGTTGTGTGTGTGTAATATGTAGGTCACTCGCCAGAAGAGACCGTTGCACGACCGAATCACAGTGTGTAATTGTATTATAAAGATCTGTTCTTATTTAATTTTGTATTTTATTTTGATACGAACAATGTGGCTAATTGCTATTTTGGAACGATTAAATGATATATATATATATATATATGAGATTGGATTATGATATAAATGTGCTACGAACGTTATAGAATGCCTTATTACGAATGGTAAAGGATGCTTGACGAATGTTAACGAACAAATAAAATGTGGACCTAAAGTCATTCTGTTCCTGTTATAAGTGATGGGTCTAAGGCCGTTATGTTTGATATGGATTGCTTATAAATTATGAGCCTAAGGCCATGGGAAATGGAGACATATCGATATTCCATCTTCTCTATGATAAGATATATTTGGACTCAAGGTCGTTTAGAACAGCTGTTACTATGCTGGGTCTGAGGCCGTTCCGCATTATATTAGGCCTAAGGCCGTTCTGTTCTATGTGAGAGATGGAGACATATTGATGTTCCATCTTCTTTATGATAAGATATGTTTGGACCTGAAGTCATTCTGAACAACTGATATCATGTGATTGGGCCTAAGGTCGTTCTGTTACATGTAGGTCCGAGGCCGTTCCGCAATAAATGGGCCTGAGGCCGTTCTGAAAATGTGATTATGAATAACGTTATACTTAACATGACTATGGTGGATACTCTGAATGTTGCACTTTGGACAAATATTAGGTTTACATCACATGCCTTCATTAAATTTACTTTACTATTATTCATTGAGCTTCCCCCACTCTGTATTTATATATATTTATGTAGGTGTTCAACTCGGAGGTCAACCCTAGGTCAGCTTCAGGAGTCTTTTTGGTGGACCTGCTTTGATAAGCCTCCCAAACCTTTTGTCTTTTGAGATTTTCTGTGATGGCAAATTTAGCAAGTCTTTGGTAACTTTTGTTTGGACACCTTGTTAACATGTAATTTTTGGATTGCTAACTCCTTGTATATACCTGCATGACTCGTATTTGTATGTATGAACTGTGTATGTGAACTTTCTGTATATGACATGATGTTTAAAATCCTGGCATATAAGCACTATTTAATGGACGTTCTGTTATTTTATTTACTTCCGCTTAGGCCCCGTTATTATAAATTCTCTGTAATCTGTCTAAGGCCGTAAGTAATCAAGAAGTTACTAGCTGGTCATGATCCAAACTTTTAAGGGCAGGTTTGGCTCGTGACAGGTTCGACAACTTGCCTATATCCACTTCTAGCCTCCATGTCGGCATTAATCCACTATTCAAACAGGTTTTGACTAGGGCAACCCAAAACCTTTATAAATACTGCTTCAAAGATTTTCACTAGGTTACACTCTAAACCTCTACCATAATAATACAGCGGGTTTATGCCCACTAGGGGTGGGCAACAGTTTATCCGAACCGCTCAAACCGCCCAACCCGCATATAAATGGACGGTTTCGCAAACACAATGCGGGCGGATGCGGTTTGAAATATGACAAATTTGCGGGTTGCAGACGGGTCGCGGTTTAAACCCGCAACCCGCAAAAACCGCCCGCACTTTAATTATTATTATTATTATTATTATTATTTTTTATATACCAACTTTGTAACTTTTACAGGAACACCATTATATTCTTTATGACACTAGGATTCTTATTTTTAAGTATTTCTCAACTTTCTTAATGCCATAGAATTATCAAGTCCTAAACTTGGTTTCTTATATAATTTTCATTGATGATTCATCCACTTTTCCTAATAAAATTTTCCTTCTGGTGATCAATGGAACTTCTAGTTTGATTATTGATTACTGAACTGGCAATTCTAATTGAGTACAACCTTTAATGCATTGATATACATTTTTTTCATGGCAAAAATGCTAATGTAGGGTCTCTTTGTTTTGGTTACTTTCATTTAATGCATTGATATTCTATTTTTATTTGTAAACTCATCAGAAAATTATTATCACAAATATATAAAATGAATCTGATACCTAAATTCTATGGGAAAAAAAACTCAAAAATTAATTTTTAAAGAAAAAAGTATAAATCGCAAACCGCCCGCACATTTATAAACCCTATCCGCACAAACAGCAAACCGCACTGTGGGCGGTTGCGGGTTGACTTTTTCCCAAACCGCATAGATGCGAGCGGGTCAAAATCGAACCGCAAACCGCACAAAACCGATCCGCGAACACCCCTAATGCCCACCAAAAACTGCAACGTCCAAATCAAAAACCGAACATTTACTAGATTTACAAAAGCTAGAACATGGACTTCAAAGAGGAAAACCAATACCCTTAGGCCCAAACAAAGTCTTGTAGGTGAGAGATTTGTAGTGTGTCAACAATAGTGTATAAACTACACTAATGGGATGGTGTTTATGCCTTTCACAAGTTAAGAACTTGGAAGATTCCCATGGAGTAAACTCTTGAAAGCACTTGTGTAAGGAATGAAGGCTACAACCTCTATCCAAGGTTGGATTCACACTCAAAATGTGCATGAAATTTTATAAAAGTTGAGGTATATATAGCCCAGCTACCAACGGCTAGTTAATGATATTTTTAATTTTTTTTTTTTTTTTTTTGAAAGTGTATACTTTGTTCTCCAACTTCCACCAACTCCACGATTTGGTGATATGCATTTAATTACATCACTATCATGCCAAATCTAATGATTTTAAAAGTTGGTAATGGTCTAATAAAATTGTTCTAAAATTTCAATACTGAGTGAATAAATATCTACTTCACATGAATGATATAGTTCTATAAATAAATAAAAAAATTCTGGATCACGTGAACTGTGGTGTAGATGCCCATGGTTCCCACTTATAAGCCATGAATCCCTCATATAGTAGATTCAGTTCACCTCACAGAACTAATGATGATTTCGATTAACAAAACATTATTTAATTACTATAAAATCAACTCAAAAGTTATGGGAACAAGTTTCACAATTTCCCAATAATCTGCTATGACAACAAAAATCTATCAGATTATACACCTCACCACAGTGAAATTCGAATCAAATCAAACCTGGAAAATATGTCCGACGATAATAGTGCCGGTCTTGAGAAAAGACGGAGATTGAAGGCCTTTCTTTATGAGCATTTCATTCTTTCCACAAAGGTCAAAGCTAAACCCACCCTTCATCGGAACATCTACAGCTGCCTTAGACATTTTCAAATATGCACTACACCAGCCTACTCATACGGAATACATAAACAAATTTATTGATTAGATTAACCTAATTTGCATCACAAATCGCGTAATTGCATTGTTAATACACCATCATTAGAGCAAATGAAGTTCTTGAAACAAAATAAAACAAGTTTATAGAGAATTTTGCAGTAAAAAAAAAAACACTGACTTAGGGCTGTTTGAAGCTTGAATTTGGTATGAAGATTAAGAACATATATTTAGATACACACATATATAATCAAATGAATCTGAAACTCACGGTGATTGAGGATGCGAAGATTGTCGAAGAGATCGATGAATCGAAGAGACGAAGATCTACGAGAGCGAGAACCGAAGGGCGAAGAATAAAATAGCCGAGTCTTGGGGCCAAAGAAAAGGGTTTTGTGGGTGATTGAATATCTTTTGCAATAATTACTAACTGACCACACTAGAAAGAAGTATTTTCAAATAGTGCAATTTATTGCAATCCTCTTACGATAAGATCCTAAATTTTACATGCTTTGGCATTATTACCTAGGGTGTTCGCAGTTCAGTTGCAGTTAGAAAACCTCTAATCTGTCATCTGTTTACTGGATAGGTGGATTAGAAAAACTCAATCCGCATCTGTCAATTCAACAGACGGATGTGCATGAGCTCAATTCGCAGTTCAGTTCCAGTGCATGAGCTTCAGAGGCCGAATAGGACTAGTTCGCAAAATGATCTGCTCAGCATC